GCTTTCTTTTGCTTCTTTGGCTTCTTCGGTCCATTTGATGCTTTTGCCGATGATTTCTTTTCGTTTTTGCTATCGCTGACTTCAATCACCTCGTTGCCATCTTCGGTTTCGCTATCACTGACTTCAAGATCTTTGGAGAGAAAATCCTCACCTTCATCGCTACTGGTGGAATGATCCGATTTAAGGAGCTCTTCGTAGAGTTGTTGTAATGGTTGTTTGGCGGACGAGGACTCTTCGCTTTTGCTATCGCTGATTTCAATCATCTCGTTGCCATCTTCGGTTTCGCTGTCACTGATTTCAAGATCTTTAGATAAGAAGTCTTCATCTTCATCGCTACTGCTGGAATAATCCGATTCACAGGGCTCTGCGTAGAGTTTTTGTGATGAGGGTTTTGCAGATGTTTCCTCTTCATCGCTACTGGTGAAATAACTCGATTTACGAGGCTCTGCGTAGAGTTTTTGTAATGGTAGTTTTGCAGTTGAATCCTCTTCATCGCTACTGCTGGAATAATCCGATTCACGGGACTCTGCGTAGAGTTTTTGTAATGGTGGTTTTGTGAATAATTCCTCGTCATCGCAACTGGAAAAATAATCCGGTTCACGGGGCTCTGCGTAGAGTTTTTGTAATGGTGGTTTTGCGGATACTTCCTTTTCATCGCTACTGGTGCAGTAATTTGATTTACGGGGCGGTGCGAAGAGTTTTTGTAACAATAATGCTTTTTTGCTCATTGGTTGGGTTGATGATGAGATTGTTGGCTTGATCGAATGATCAATTTCAAACGTCGATATCTTTTCATAATTTTGTGATGTCGATGATGTGGAATCACTTTTATACATTTTTGAGGAACTGGTCATATAATCCGATTCACGGGCCCGTTTATGCGATTCAGGGTGTTGATTTCCATGGCTAGTGTTGAAAGCTCTATTTATTTTGTTGGCCCGTTTTTTTGATGATGTAGCTGCTAAACTCCTTTGAGCAGATGATGGACCATTTTGAATAATTTCTTGATGAAGTACTGATTTCACTTGATTTTGTTTTGTTCGAATCATTGCAAAATATGCTGGGTTAATCACAACTTTGCTTGCATTTGAGTATTGTAAAGGCACTCGTTCCACCATTGAATTTCCATATTTACTGTTTTCCATTTTTACTGATTTTTTTTTATCGTGATTGACAAAAAGTTATTTCGATGTGACGGTTTTTTTTAATAAAATTTAATTTCCAGCCACTTGTCAATATCGTAGATGTGTTCCTCTTGAGAATTTTACACGTAATGTAGAGATGACGTATGAGCCACTTGCTTATATACCTGCTGTGCCGAAGTAATGGTCTCACTTAATTGCTTATTATCGATTGTGATTAGGATTGGAATTATAGTAGGACATACTAAATGCAACACCTTAATGGCAAATTATCATTAAGGACCCCTAATAATCCATAATAAACAATCAATTAGCCACATAATCACAGCTATAAAAATCAAGTTTTATTGCCCCTTTGAAATTTGACATCCTAATTATCCCAAATATCCTAATTAACGATCATCATAAAATAACAAAAGACATTTTTCAAACGTTTATTGCGATCACATAATTAGCCTAATTGAAAAAATATCCATTCGAAATTATTCTAGGAATGAATTAAAACAAAAATAGATAAAAACTTATTACTTTTGTAGTATCATGACTTTCGACCCTTTTTCTTGTAAATCAAAGAAAATCGATATTTTTAAAAATTCCACTACATCGTAAACTTACGTTTTTGTTTGATCATTTCCACTATTTATTTATGAAAAACATGCTTTGATTTAAATCAAAGCACAATTGATTAGATTTTGTTATCATTGAACATCCTGATCAACGATCATCATAAAAATTGATTTATAAAAAAGCATCACCTCTTTTTATTGGACAAAGTTTCTATCCTAAATTCACAATAGATTGGACAGAGATTATGAACCTCACAATGCAGATTTATGTATTGTATCCAAAAGGCAAGCGCAATTTGGACAGACACTTATAACACCATCTATGTAAAACGCGCTTACTACAATGTAAATCAAACGTATATCTGTTACCCCTTCTTCTTCGCCTCCTTACCCTATTTAATTCTTACTATGCTTTTACATTGTACACAGAAACAAGTATTCGAGTACGCTTACTCGCACTTGCGGTGTTAGTAGAGACTATTTACCGTAAATATGAATTCATGAGAAAACTGAATCTGATATAAGTTTCGACTTTCACATGTGCGGATATTCGAATATACAAAATTCTCGTATATGAGCAAAAAATCCAAAATTTTGTACGGGAGATACCCCTAATATGCCTTGAAATGTCTTCAAACCTGCGGAATGTTGTTTTTGTGTGAAAAAAAATAACCTGTGCAAAGTTTCAGATCATTACGAAATCATACTGGCATGGCTTTCATACAAAAATCCAAAATTTTTGTATGAAAAGTGTGTCGAAAGTTATTTGTATCGCAAAACTAACGTCATATTCGGTTTTAAGAATACATTAAGTATCATTTTTGGAAGAAAAATTAAATTTTTCTCATACCAGACCTAACACTTCACTCTGTCAACCAAAGTCGCTCTAAATCTAATGGTTTCTATTCCTCGGCACCCCCAATCATCCCGTGAAGTCAGATTTTGAATTACTTTCCTTGTTTGAAAGTTATCGTGTTAACAAATTTTTGCGTACAGGGTACAGGATACAGGGTACCACACACATACATTCGGACATCGAAAAAACGCTAGATTCGTGTTCCCTGGCCCCAAAAACACCCAGAAAACATGGTTTTTGAGGATGTTAATTTTTCGACCGATTCCAATACTTTACCTTACACACTAGGTGTGTGCGGAAAAGTAATACGTAGTGGGGAGATTAGCTAATTTTAGCAATCGCAAGATCTTATCAGTCTTGTTTTGTGTTTGGGAAAAAACCCTAGGGGCTTTCATGTAAGATTTTCTTTCCAGAATTCGACGAATAAACAACAGTATAATAAATGATGCAAATGTTTACAAATAATGCAAATTTTTACCGATTTCACTATTTTGTGCCAAAAATCCACCGATATTGGCCGATATACGAAGTGTGTGTGTTCTGGAAGTGGGCTTTGGTGGATCCTCAGGATCATCAGAACCGCTCCCAGTTCTGGAAGTGGACCCTCAGGATGGGCCAAGGGATTGTCAAACCATGGTCTGGTCCATCCAGAGGATCTACCAAAACCCACTTCCAGAACAATTAATTATCAAAAAATACCCGAATATAACCGATATTCTAAAGATATGCTGATATTCCGCCGATATTTCAACGATATGCCAGTATGCAACGATAATGCAAATTTCATCCAATAAAAATACATGAAAACCCCTAGAAAAACCCATTGAAGCTTGGAGGATGTGGTAACTTATCGAATTGGCATACGATAAGTGGTAGATGTATATATTTGTGGAGCTATAAATGAATATTTTTATACATAAATATATTTATTGGGGAGCTTGACAAGTACATCGCTCTAATTTGGCTTGCAAATCTCCAACTTGGCGTTTCAAATCGACAACGGTGTTCCTCAAATTTCGGACCAACGATTCCAATACAGTCTCGCGAATACTTGGCATCACCCTGCGGCCGTGAATATAAAAAAATTGTCGCAGTGGTAGTAGTGCATGCATCAAAGCGGGTGCTCGAATGACAGGTCACCGTTGTGGTTGTGGCAGCGGCTGCTTGCTGATGATCAGGCAATAATGGTGCATCAACAAAGTCACCGTTTGAGTTTTTGGTCATTTCTTTTCCGGACACCCAGTACTGTGATGATAGTCACTCAAGACAGTCGCATGTTTTTGTGTGCACTTAGTTACAACCTATTGATATTAGTTATATCACTCACAAAAGTCATATTTTACAATGAGTACTCAGTGAAAACGCAATGTCAACAGATGATGAACAAAAGAACAACGAAAAAAAAAAATCACACCAATCGTCGTTACAGATTTGGGAAAAGATATACAATAGATTATTACAGATTTAGAATTGGTATGTGACATTAAAACAGGGACCGGGTCGCGTATAATTTTATACTAGCATAAAAAACGCAGGCAGTATAAATATACAAAGTATAAACGCAGACGCAACATATCCATCGCTGTTCGCTATGTATGAAGCATGCGAATACATGGTTGTGTGTGCATGTGACCATTGAGAGACGCACGCACATACATTGAATTTATTGAGCGCAGCACAAACCGAACAGTGACGGATATGTTGCGTCTGCGTTTATACAAAGTATAAATATCTTTCTATATGCGACCCCGTCCCTGCATTAAAATTGTCGGCATTAGTAGACATTTTTTTTGCCAAAACGATCGAAGACAAAAATAAAATAATGGACACATTAAAACAATCAAAAATCGATTTTTCGATCGCACCCCGTTGCGGCCAATAAAGTGTTTAAAGTAGATTTTTGTACAATTGATCTAGTTTTGTTTTGCATTGTTTAAGTTCGTTGATGCTGTGAAGAAATATATTCGATACCTCACTAAGTGACCATAAGTTGGCGTTAGAGTTGGTTTCGTCGCAATTATTTGTTGGTGTGAATTCGGTTGCCTGTGTTGTGAAGCGAGATTGGTTTTGTTGATGAGTGTGCCGTTTGGGTTTGACAGACATAGTTTTTGTTGGTGTTATTGGCTGCGGTGCTCGCATGTATTTGTGATCGTGTGATTTACTAGTCTGCGTAGACGTGCCTGTTCATATTTTGCACGAAATGGACAATTTTCATCGTTTGCTTTTTGATTGTGCGGTATGTTTGCCCTAATGAAATTAAATATTGGATTTTTTGTTTCTTTTGTTATTTTCGTGCATTCTTTAGTTGTGTGCATTGTCTTCGATTTTAAGAAGTTTGTATCTAACCTTCAAAATCATGCTCTGGGCAACTGATTTGTCGATTTCTTTCAATTTTTTTCTCAATCCATCCAACCAATTGTTACTCGTTTCAAATATTTTGGACCTTCGTCTATAACATACATCCAAAAACAGACGAGAAATAATTAATTTGGTGTCTTTTTATGAAGTTAAAAAGATGGTCCTTTTTCATGTAAATGCTATTTTTTAAGAAGTGAGACATTATTGTGGTTTTTTCTGCTTGCAAAGCACAATTTAATCTTTAATCAGATAGTTCTCAACAAACTCTATCGATTTCAACAATATTCGGTTGATAATGAAGCAAGTAATTGAGATTTAACCTTACGTTTCAGCACTAAATTTTCGAATAATGGCTCTAAAACACCTTCCAAAGAAGATCCTACCATACAAACACCCCTTTATTAAAGTTCGGGTTGTCGACGTCTCTAGCCCTATATAGTAGTTCCCTAACGTTATCAATGCAAAAGAAACCACTTGCACTTGATTCATGGTTCGATATAGCGACGAATGTTTCACTATCCAAAATGATGAATTTTTCAGCGCAACATGCTATGAGATGAAGTAAACATCCAATTTTTGACACCCTTTGCAATTTTCTCGTAACTTATTTTGCTGATTACTAATGATCGTGCCTAAATCTATTGTTTTGGTACAAATTTGGATGTGCTGTAACCAAAAAAATCACCAAAAATGAATTTTTGCTTGACCAACCCGGTTTTCGGTACTTAATGACAATTTTGAAGAGTTTGAGCATTTAAATTGGGAATACGACCGTACTTTTTGCATTCTCTAGAATCTTTATATTCATATTAAGTCCATGAAACACGATACATGGTTCGAAGACAGATTGGTTCATCTTTAGACACATGCAGAATTTGTTTTGAACAGGGATTGTTCTCTGAGGAGGAGGAATGGTGAGGAGGAAAATGAGGAGGAGGAGGAGAGCGAGGAGGATCCTCCTCCTCAACTGAGGAGGAAAATGTTTTTAGCTAAAAATGATATTTTTGTGATAAAAATAGCCCTTTGAGCAAAAAAAACTTTTCCCCCTCAGTTGAGGAGGAGGATCCTTCTCGCTCTCCTCCTCCTCCCCATTTTCCTCCTCACCGTTCCTCCTCAGAGGAACAATCCCTGGTTTTGAACTTAGCTGTCCAAAACCATTTGAGACACTTTTTCGTAAATCCAATTTGTACGTCATTGCGAATGAATATAATTGAATGGTTTGAGTTTGACAATAGAGTAGGTGTCCCGTTAAGTATCCTATGTGCATTGGTTGGCATTTTTATTTTTGTTTATGTATCGCAATAAACGCCTGAATTTAGTGCCAAAACTTTCTTAACATATGTTATGTGGTGTTTTTCATTCAATTTGCTCAAATGGAGTCATTTGAGCGCAACAAAGCAAATAATTGGAGTAACTATCGTGTATTGTATATTGATAAAATCATCGATAATGTTCGCTGTAATTTCATTAAAATATCTATGTGCATTTTGAAATCTAAAGGTAAAACGAATGTGTATGGAACAGAGTTAATGTTGTGTGTTTTAAAATTTGTCGTATTATAGAGAAACTTCTTAATTTTAAAGTTTTGATCAAATAAAATGTTTCCACAATGGATAAAAGTTATATTGAATTATTATAGTTTGTGGGGTTTCTGTTGTTCAACTTGCACAGGATGGCGTGAAAAGTTCATAAATTCCTTATTCTATGTTTGCCATATTGTTTTGTGTATATGGTGTTCGTTGACAATTCTAAAGGCATTCGCTGAAAAGCAAGCTCAAATGGAGTTCTTGGATGCGTTAAACTTTTTCCTATACTACATTGCAAATGCTCTAACATATTGGCTAATTCTCTACGATTCCTATAAAAACCACATCGATTACCATGCTTTTTGGCACATTTTTAGAAAGATCAACTTGGAGTTTTCTCCACAATCGAATGTCGGCAGTTGGATCTATTTAATGTTATTTGCATTGGTTTTGGTTGGTGATTTGATTAAATTTGTGTTCACAGTGATGCGTGAGACTCAATCAAATTATGGTGGCCATGTAATGCAATTCATTTTTCTGTGCATAATGGATAATCGAGCTTTCTTTTATTTACTCCATTTGAAATTGATCGAATTTCAATTGAAAAACATCAAAGCGGAATTGATAAAGCTACGTACACACATTCATTTAAACGATCAAAGATGGAAGTGGATTCGTGATTATTACATTCATGTTTATCAAATGTCTGTTCACGTGAATTCATTATTTGGATTGTCAAATTTAGCTTTAGTTATGTTAAATTTCTACACGTGTGTGACATTTTTAAATTTCATCTACAGACAAATTCTAAAAAAATTCAAAAGTTTCAGTTCTGGTTAGTTTTTGCAGTCTCATCCATATAAATTAAAACATTTTGTATTTTTCAGATATTATGGTGACTTCTACTATCATTGTTATGTATCGCATCGCAATTCAGTTATTTAATATAAATAAAATTACAGAGGAATGCTATTCAACGGTAACGCAAAGTGTCGAAAAGTAAATTCAAAACTTAATTTCGTGTACATTTTACAGACTGAGTTCATTCTGTTTGAAATGATAAACCTCTCAACTGAGGTCAACAAAAACTTTGCCGAAAAAGTAATTTATATTACGGTATCCAGTCGCTTTTTACGCTAATTTTTACCAATTTATAGATAGACGCAATTTTATATCAGTTAGAATTTTGCCCAATTTGCTTTCATATCAAAGGAATAATTTCCATCAAAACCAATACAGTGTTGAGCGTATGTTAAATTCATCATTTGTTAATCATTTAGCTGTCGAATACGTTTCTCTCTGGGATTTCATCTTGCTAATGCCATAATTTGGGATATTCAATGCAGAGATAAATGCCGTATCCATAATTTGAGTTTTTGAGCGAAAATCCACGAAAATTTCAAGTTATGGCAATAGAAAGGTAAAATCTAAGAAATTCAACAACCCATTTTTGTATTTTAGCTCCTGGGAACGGTCATCATTTATGTGGCGTTATTCATTCAATTTGCTCAAATGCAGTAGCAATGTTATTATTAAAAGAGTGAATATTTATACATGTTTTGAATAAAGAACAATAAACATAGAAATTTAAATAAAAGCATGCAAGAATTATACAGACAAAATAATAGGAAACAATTTTTATTCACACTTAGTTAATACCGTTTGAAGTTCAAACAAATTACAACTTCTATAACAACACGTGTCGTAAACCTGAAAAAATAAAATCCAACTTCATTAGAATAACGTAGAAAAACGATTTACATTTCCTTATTTTTTTTTGTTCGAATTACGTTTTGTTGCAAAAATTATTCCATCTTTGTAAAATACAAGCACTTCAAAATAATGTAGATTGGTTCAAATTTTGATAGGAATGTTTTAATTTCAAAATGTGGATTAGTGCGAATACGTTTTCCGATGGCTTTGTAAATTTCTAGTACTGCTAAAACGGTACGTTGGCATTCAGTTGGTAATAATTTGATTCCAGTATTATCGTTTTCACATAAATTATCAGCAACGTCAAGCATTTTTTCCGCAAATTGCTTCAGTTTTGCGTTTGGGATTTTATGTGGCTTCCGTTCATTAACCAATAGATTCCATTCATCAGCTTTCAAATAGATCTTAGGTATATAACAGCGACCTTCAAATTAAAAATCAAAGAGATATTACTGAGAATAGTAATGCACATTAGCAATAATACTTACCCAATTCTTCACTGTCTACAATAATATCTCGGCTCATATGGATAATTTGTATTACCTAGTTTTTGCGAAATTAATTGAAATGTTATCACTTAATATGAGCAGTAATAAAAAACACTAACCAATCCAATTTTTCGATTATTTTCAAGCATATAACGGCATTTTGGACCCATATTATCTGCCCATTTACAAGTTTTGTGAAAAAGTACAAATGTACAAAGGGATGCCGTGCTACTGCTTACATATTTTGAGTACTCGAACAAATCTCCCTCGTGCAAAACTGCCTTTCCAATTGCATCCCACTTATAACCGTCAATCAATTCTTCAAGTAATTCTTGTGGCAGATAATATGCAATACGTGCAAATGCTCGAAATGAACTTAATTGTTCATCTGTTAATTGCGTTTCGAAATATTTCCAATCGATGATTGGACTCGAACTTATAGTTGTCCAACAGTATTTGGATATTATCTTTCGATTTGAAAATAATTGATTCAAGAATTTTGTCATTATTTGTACTTGTTCATTTTTAAATTCAACCGATTCATTGTTATCGACCATATCATCTGTTACACGACAAAATGAATTGAGAATCACTAAATCTTGTCTCACATCTAAAAATAAAGATAATTGAAAAAAGGAAAAACCACTGATTATATTTAATCACTTCAATTATTAACTGAATAAATTACCATTTGGAAAGAATTTTGATACGAAGTAAAATGATTTGGACGAATTTTTGAATATATTATTACATTTCCCAAGATCAGTGATTACAGATTGGTCAAAAGTGGTCTCATCCAAAAAAATTCCATCAAAGAGCATTCGAATATAACCAAAAAATCGTGTTGTCTCACTTATTTTGCTATAAACCGGAAATGGTTGACGATAATATGTATCGTTGATTGCTTTTATTTTATCAAATGCATGTGATGTCATTACAATAATCACATTTGAAAGAATAATCAAAATAATTTCCTCGATCGGCAATTTATTCCACGGCAAAATGCTAAGACTTGTATTTTCGCTAATATACCAAATGTGAGCGCGCATAGCAATCAAATTCACATAGCACAGATAGATCGAGGGCACAATTATGCTGATCAACGTTTCCTTATATCGTTGGCACGTGTATGGTCCACAAATATACCACAAAATAATAACTGTTGGTAAAAACCATGCAGCAATCGAACCAATGTAGAACGTTTTTGTGTCAGGTATCGATTTGATCAGTCCAATAATTGTCAAGATGACCAACAATAATATCACTGAATATCGAACTAAATTGAATTTGAATCGGCTATAACTTTTTAAATGCAGTGAATTCAGTGCCCATCTTGTGCATAAAGTCGTCCATAACGTGATTAAAACTGCTTGAAAAATGATAAACGAATATTTTTCAATTGGTGCATAGCCGATAAAGCCGACACTTATATCGTTGCGATACCACACCATTTGTTGGAAGGCAACATAATTAATCCAAGGCACGGTATAAGATAATGTTAAAGCACAAGATAAAATGATTTTGATATTATCAAAACTACTCATCAACGGTTTCAATACCAGATAGAGAATGATGGTCGGTAGTACCGTATAGTAGCACATCAATTGCATATAAATCAACATTTTTAAGGAAAAATACAAATATTTTATGATGCACTCTTTGATGAACACCTGAAAGCAAACGGACTTTTTCAGAAAAAAATTTAATGTTATGTAAAATAAAAAGTCACTTTGAATGAAATTTTTACGAAAATCTGCCACAACTTCATAGAACAGACACTGAAATTTTTTATAATTTTTTTACTCTTGATTATGAAAGAAATGTTAAATACAACCAACTAGTTTGATTACCCAAATGTGAGTGTTATATATGTCTGTTTTTTTAAAGCAAAAATCCAGTTCTTACTTCAAATCGTTAAATTTCCTGGGTCATCATAGTTGACTTTTTCAACGTCTGGACACTTTCGTTTTCACCTTCATTGAACTAAACATTTTACATGAATTCTTGCGAAATTAAATAAGTTGTTCGCTACGGCCATTGCCCGTGCGTTCAAGGTTACGGAACTTTCGACAAATATCCAATTAACAAAATGTTGACATACATATTCGCATTTTTTTCGCGATAAACTAGTATAAGTCGTACTAATGCTGGAGTATATAGTGTCTTTCTCATATTACTTGATAAAAAGCTCTAAAAATCGTTTTCGGGTTTTTTTCATACTCATAACTCAAGCAAGGTACCATTCGTGATAACACATTTTCTGGTTGGAAAATTCGTACAGGGTAATTATTTACCTTGAAAATGAGGTTTTTCCTCAGAATTTGTATGGCAGACTGAGGACAAGTTAATTTGAATCGGTAAGAATATTTGTGACCTTCGCAAGTTTGTTAAAATAGATCTCCATCATGCATTATGTGAATATAATTCTTCAAGAGTAACAAAGTAAAAATAATCGAGCAACATGGCCATGTGACTTGATTATTTTCACTTATTCTCATGACGGTACACAGGAATGGTCTTTACGAACTCAAAACCTTCTATAAATCGAAAAATTGATGGCAATTCGGAATTTTACAATCGTCCAAGTGGTTCGAAATAATATTTCTTATAAATGATGCAAATATATGCCAATTTAGTCGATTTCACGTTTTATAGAGAGACATAAAACGTCATTCAAATGTTCGAATGAATAGCAAAGCCCACGGGAATAATTCTTACAAACTCAGAACCTTTTAGAAATTCAAAAACGATTTTGCGGTCATATGTGAAGTTTATTTTCTTCTTATCATTTTAATTCGGTTATTTTTTATTTATTCATCGAAAGTTATTAGAAAGACTTCTGTTTAAATTTGAAGTCTGGATGAAGTAAATTTAACCAAAATTCGGTTGCATACAAAATTACATGCGCGTAGATTATTCTAAACAGTGTCAAAACAAATTGCCGCTAATATGTGATCTAATGCGTAAATCTGTTGTGTATGATCTGAATTTCAAATGAATTATTTACATTTTCATATTTGCATTAGAGTGTGATGCAAATAATGTAAAACAATTGATATCGGCCAGTTGCGCATATGTGCAAATACTTAAGTAAACACGCTCTAATCGTCACCATCAAAACAGACCACCTTGTTGGGAATGACCAACGGTTCTTTAAATAAACTGCAAATATTTATTGCAATTTTTGTTTGAGAACAAAGAGTATTATTGGAATAACTTTTAGAATTTAGCCCAAGTAAACGCGACTTGAATTTCTTGCGATTTTTGCAATTGTGCAAATATTTATCGTTAAATTCAGATGAATCTTTTCATATATTCAAGGCAAAAAAATTTGATATAAAAGATCGCCGATATGATCGTATTATCATTCGATTTTTGACATTCACATATTGTATAGTATATTCAAAATGTCTTCGAAATTGGTTCTCCTACTGTTTGCAACGTCGGCGGTGGTGAGTTAAATATTAAATATTCAAACTTTTTTTTCTCAATTTAGAAATTACCATAACCTATCTAATATTTTTTCCAGCTCATTTCATGTGATCCGATTCCGGATGCTGAAGCAAAGCCAGATGCTTTGGCCAAAGCTGAGCCCGCCCCGGCTCCTTTTGCTTGGGCCAATCCTTTCGCATGGGCTAAAGGTGGCGGCGGAGGTGGTAAGTTTGTTATCTCTTTGACCATTTGTTTCTCTAATTATTTATTCAATTACTTACTGATGTATTTCAATTCAGGACTATCCAGTGGCATGGGTGGAAAAGGTGGCGGCGGAGGTGGTAAGTTTGTTATCCCTTTGAACATTTGTTTCTCTAATTATCTGTTTAATTACTTGCTGTTGTATTTTAATCAGGATTATTTGGTGGAAAAGGCGGCGGCGGAGGTGGTAAGTTTGTTATCCCTTTGAACATTTTTCTCTAATTATCCCTTGTTTCTCTAATTATCTCTAATTATCTGTTTAATTACTTGCTGTTGTATTTTAATCAGGATTATCTGGTGGAAAAGGCGGCGGCGGAGGTGGTAAGTTTCTTATCTATTGGATCATTTGTTTCTCTAATTATTTATTTAATTTCTCACTTCTTCTTTGTTGTATTTTAATTCAGGCTTATTCAGTGGCAAAAGTGGAATGGGCGGTGGTGGAGGCGGCGGTGGAGGTGGTGGTGGTCGTAGTCGTAGTCTCGGAAAATCTTTTAAACCGGCAATGCGAAGCAATTCAAGAAATCTTCAGA